ATAGTTTTCAGCCATAATATTGTTACTTTTTTGTATTAAAACACCTACTATTGTGTACGTACTTGTTAACGCCAAAAGTTCTTTATATTTTAAATTGTGTAATTAATTTAAAACCGTAGTTTAAATCTAAAAGTCTCTGTAGAGGCTGATTTTTCAACTATGTTTACCAAAGTGGCACCAAACAAAACCTTAGAATCTTCTCTTTCAATTAATTGATTCTCATCCCATGATGATAGGTTGTACAGTTTTTCATTTATGGAGTTTTATAAGTGTAACAATAAAATAATTCACAATCACCGTGTATAATAATCTATTTTCTGGGAGTGATACTTATTCACAATTGAAAAGGTTACTTTCTTGTGAGGATAAAAACGGTGCCAAAACATAAATTTATGTTTGTAACTGTAAATTGTTTTGTTTGGATTAGTTTTAGCTAATATTTTAATCACATACATGTCAATAGACTTTCCTATTTAATTCGGTTAAAAATATAATGTTACGGACATTTGCTTGAAAAAGTGAAACGTCCACTTTTTAATAACATTTTCGAATTTTATATTTTATTACTGTATTTTTGAATATCAATTTTCCCCGCTTAAAAAATAAATCGCATGTAACTTATTAACATTATGGTGCAGGCAACGAATTATCAAAAATGTATAGAGGGAAATGTTTGGAAGTGTTTGTCTATACCGTTTTGATGCCTGAACTATTCAATATTTGATACATACTTAGGCGTCATATATACATCACAGAGAGCCAGTGGTTATTACATCCTCAAATTGAAAAGACTATATAACAAATAATTTCGTAAACAAAAAGTACTGTTCATTCCATGCAAGAGAAAATTTTCATAAAACCAGGTGTAGAACATACGGATATGTCGGAGGTATGTATGAAGTTACAAATGTTTTTGTATTTTTTACATTATTCCAACGAGAGTAAAAACCCTTCGTAGTAAATTATACTTAACTTTTTTCAAATCTTTCAATGACGTCTAAGCCTATATATATTTTTTTGTGGAACAGTATTAATTACAACAATAAAACCCAAATTCAAATTGCACTTTTTAAGTTAGTAATGTACGCACAATGCCAAGTGTATTTATGATACAGTACTCTAATTTATGTTTTGTAAAATCACTTTTTTATTATTCACATTAAATTATCTATACGCAATTATGTGACTTTTTTTAATTCGAAACAATACTTTCAATGGAAGGCAGTTTCCTATAAAATAACTTTTAATTGCTTTTAATAATAATTTTGTAAGTGTTTAGTCTTCAAAATTTTATTTCGAACTTCAAAGTCACATAAAAGGTTATCCCTTTCAATCGAAACTGTTGAAGATATTGTCCACTCTTCCAAAGCAGTTTGCTGATATTTGTTTTACCCTCATCTAGAATGATATTGGAATCATCCTTTCCTTTGCTATAGAAGACTAGAAAACTTATCAAGTTCTCTAAGTAAATACAGAAGAAAGAATAGAACGATTACAGTGTTTTCATTCCAAACTATTTACATGGATATTAACTTTAATACGCATTAAAATATTGATTTTCAATGCATCTTTTAAGATTTCGTATTTTAATAATGTTTAATATTTTACTGCTATTATATATTAGATTTCTAAAAATGTCCACAATCATGTTTTAAAAGGTTCTTCTAAGTAGCTTTTAGATTTTTAACAAAGATATCTACGACCTTTGACGAAAGTTTTATGAAATTAACAGTGTGCTGATAAGTATATCCCCTGAAACTATTAAAAGATTAAGTGCTCGGCCTAGCTGTGTTTTGCCTATAGACATTTCTGTCAATTTTGAGCTCTGAAGATCTGGCATTCAACTTTTCGAATATTACGAATACTAGCCCAACGCACTGTTTTGGTTAATTTTAGCTGTTGCCACAAATAACGTCAATTGGACAATGCACACGTGAAGCAACTCCACTACCCAGCATAATCTTGCAATTTAATCGGAATTTTGTTGAGTGTCACAAAGATAATAAAAGTCAAAACCAAAAGTCAAAAGTCGGTGTGTGTGATACATCAATTGCTACATCGCATTCAGTGGTTTGGTCATGGCATGAAATGTATGGCCTAATTGTTATGCCTACAAAAGGTGTCAACATTCCGTGTGACGTGTAGACCCGCCAAACCGAGAGCCGTAGCCCTGATAAAAGAGTGTGTTATCGCGGGTTTGTGCTATCCTTCCCTCCCCAAGGTAGACCTCAAGGTGGAGATGTGTCCGTTTACAATCTTTGTATGTATTAATAGCTAACTGATAATAGTAAATAGAATTATTCCAAATAAATTTACTTATAGAAATCTCATACACTCAGTTTTACTATAAAATGACGATGCATTGTCGATGAATATAACTCATTAAACTCATTCTCTCATTCTCATTCTCATTCTTTAACTCATTAAAGCAATTTCATTAACAATGTCATGTTGTTCAGTATTTATGGATTACTTTTTTTCTTTATTCAAAATATAGATAAGTGTGTTTGATCTAAAAGAAGGCCTTTTGAATTGCGAGTAAGCTAGTGGTTTGTAAGTGGCTTATTAAGTTGTCAAATTAGTTATGCATTCAACGTTTGATACAATATGGTATCCTATCCTTGAATAATATCACGACCTTAGGGTTCGTAGGTATATCATTGCAGCACAAAGAAGCCGAACCCTGAAAACGCAATATCTCGATGAGAGAAGCAAAATGTAATTTGCACTCGAAGCCCCATTCAATCAACAAGCATTGTGGCTTTCTTGTGACAGAACTGGTAATTATAGATGTTGAGCCGTGTTCACATAGGGTCAAGGCTTTAGTTTACTCTGATGACCTGTGAGGGCTTTAGTTAACTCTGATGACCTGTTCACATAGAGTCAATCCTTTAGTTAATTCTGATGACCTGTTCACGTAGAGCCAAGGCTTTAGTTAACTCTGATGTCCTGTTCACATAGAGTCAATGCTTTAGTTAACTCTGATGACCTGTTCACATAGAGACAATGCTTTAGTTAATTCTGATGACCTGTTCACATAGAGTCAATGCTTTAGTTAACTCTGATGACCTGTTCACATAGAGTCAAGGCTTTAGTTAACTCTGATGACCTGTTCACAACACACCTCGGATGTACTATTTATAGTCAACAAAGTAATCAATTCACAAACACTAGTATTCAATTTGCGGATTATTGCGTAACTTTTCAATCCATGTATTTTTAAACGAAATATTAATAAAACAAAGTAAATTTAATTTTGAATATACTTATACTATAACTAATTATTATTAAAACCACACTGTCGCAAACGCTATATTAATGCAATTTAATTTATCTCTCATTTTAAATTTAAATGATATAAGGGGTACCATCATTAATTATGTTTTGCGGATGTCAGTTGTCAATACGTTGTAATCGGAAAAAATGGCTGGGTATTGATTAAACAGATTCATCATTTAAGTCCTGAGGCTTTTACGAAAAGTAATTTATAACAAAAAAACCAAAAGTGCCTTTCACATATTCTGAATCAGCTATGGGTGCACCGCAAGTTAACTTAATGAATTTCTTCAGTAAAAATAGTCTAACGAAATTTGCAGGTTTCGAAAAATATGATTTATAGTGTAATTCCGTAAAAGTAAAAATTACGTGTTGAAAGACATTTAATAAACATCGTAAAAGCATGTTTTTTAATATCATGTATTTTTGTAGCTTATAATTTTACTTATCCAGCTGTTGATCCCTAAAATGACTCTTATTAATTACAAAATAATTAATAAATGCACGCATATTAACTCAACACAAAATCTATTTCATGAATGTTTACAAAACAAAAACAATAGAAAAACATATGATAGTAAAAATATGTATAAATGAATTATAAACAGTCTTAGAGAAGACATAACAGTCTCCCCCACTATTTTGAACTTGCAGTGTATTATTATGAAAGCACAAAGTCCTTGTATCGGCCCGGCATTTGCCTTTGTCGCCTTGATCTTTCTTGATTCTCAGGAGTATGGCTATTGTTCGTTTCTGTTCCCTGAACTACTGGAACCTCTGCATTGTTTGCTTTGGGAGTTGGTGGTCTTTCGAAAATTGACGGTCCTTCGGAAGTTGATGGTCCTTCGGAAGTTGATGGTCTTACGGAAGTTGATGGTCTTTCAGGAGTTGATGGTCTTAAGGGAGTTGATGGTCTTTCAGAAATTGACAGTCTTTCAGGATTAGAACAAGTAACAGCCTTAGCATTTTCTTTTGTGCTGTGTTTAGAAGCCCCTGGAACATCAAATATGTGGATTGGTCCAGTGGTAACAATTTTTGGTTTTGGTATCAAAGCAGACCACAATTGATCAATGTGTCGTTTAACAAGTCGGCCTGACTTGTCAAGGAAAACTAGATAGTGTCGAGTTCCCAACTTTTTGTTTACTTCTCCAAACTCCCAAACGTTCTTGTTGTTTATGAAGAGACGAACCTGAACTCTCTCCCCCTCGTTGAATGAACGTGCAGATGGAGCATTTCTAGTTGAAGCTTTTTGTACGTTGGGAAAAATGGCATCCATTCGTATTCTTAACTTCCTGTGGAGGTAAAGTTCAGCCGGTGATTTGCCACATGCTAGAGGAGTTGCCCGGTACCGCATTAAGATCTTCTGGACCTTTATTGCCATTGGTATGTTTTCCGAAGCTGTGGACTTCAGGCGGTTCTTCAATGAATTTTTTAGCCACTTAATAGATGGTACTGAGAGGCCAATTGCTTACGCCTCACGTTCACTCACTGATGCCGAATGTAACTATAGTCAACTAGACCGGGAAGCATTAGCCATAGTTTTTGGTGTCTCCCACTTCTATTATTACCTATTCGGGACTCAATTTCAACTTGTAACAGATAATCAGCCAATATCTAGGATCTTCAGACATGACAAGGCTCTACCACAAATGACTTCAGCTCGTTTACTCAGATATGCATCATATCTGTCAGGTTTCAATTACAAGTTGGTGTTCAAAAAGGGCATGGAAAATAAAAACGTGGATTGTCTTTCAAGAGCTCCTCTTACACAGACTCACTCTACTAATGACAAGAAAATCGGAAAAGAGGTACACCAAATCTGCAGCCAAGTTATTTTTCAAATTTCAAGCCATGAAATCACAGCTGAAATCATTAAGAACGAGACAGCCAAAGATCCAGTGCTCTCTAAGATTTTGAAAGACCTACTCACCAATTCAACTGATTCTGATTTTACGTTGGTCGAAAACATTATTTTCCGAGGAGAAAGAGTTTACATTCCATCACTACTTAGAAACAAGATTCTAAATGAACTTCACGAAAGTCATCTTGGAATCACAAAAATGAAACAGCTAGCACGGCGCTATGTTTACTGGCCAAATATTGACAAGGACATTGAGCATCTTGTGAAAGGATGTGAAAATTGTGCACTAACACGGTCAAATCCGCCCAAAGCTCCCAATCACCCGTGGGAAATTCCAAAAGAGAACTGGGAAAGAATACACATTGACTACGCAGGACCGTTTCAAGGCTTCAACTTCCTCGTGTGTATTGATGCTAGATCAAAATGGGCGGAGATAAAAGTAATCAAAGATGCACCATCCAGCTCCAATACCATAAATCTGCTTGAACAGATTTTTGCAACACACGGCTACCCGAATGTTATGGTATCTGACAACGCCTCAATTTTTCAAAGTGATACATTCCAAGCTTATTGCAAATTGCACGGCATTTTCCAGAAATTCATATCTCCAGGACATCCAGCAACAAACGGCTTAGCAGAACGCTCTGTTCAAACATTGAAGAACCGCCTGAAGTCCACAGCTTCGGAAAACATACCAATGGCAATAAAGGTCCAGAAGATCTTAATGCGGTACCGGGCAACTCCTCTAGCATGTGGCAAATCACCGGCTGAACTTTACCTCCACAGGAAGTTAAGAATACGAATGGATGCCATTTTTCCCAACGTACAAAAAGCTTCAACTAGAAATGCTCCATCTGCACGTTCATTCAACGAGGGGGAGAGAGTTCAGGTTCGTCTCTTCATAAACAACAAGAACGTTTGGGAGTTTGGAGAAGTAAACAAAAAGTTGGGAACTCGACACTATCTAGTTTTCCTTGACAAGTCAGGCCGACTTGTTAAACGACACATTGATCAATTGTGGTCTGCTTTGATACCAAAACCAAAAATTGTTACCACTGGACCAATCCACATATTTGATGTTCCAGGGGCTTCTAAACACAGCACAAAAGAAAATGCTAAGGCTGTTACTTGTTCTAATCCTGAAAGACTGTCAATTTCTGAAAGACCATCAACTCCCTTAAGACCATCAACTCCTGAAAGACCATCAACTTCCGTAAGACCATCAACTTCCGAAGGACCATCAACTTCCGAAGGACCGTCAATTTTCGAAAGACCACCAACTCCCAAAGCAAACAATGCAGAGGTTCCAGTAGTTCAGGGAACAGAAACGAACAATAGCCATACTCCTGAGAATCAAGAAAGATCAAGGCGACAAAGGCAAATGCCGGGCCGATACAAGGACTTTGTGCTTTCATAATAATACACTGCAAGTTCAAAATAGTGGGGGAGACTGTTATGTCTTCTCTAAGACTGTTTATAATTCATTTATACATATTTTTACTATCATATGTTTTTCTATTGTTTTTGTTTTGTAAACATTCATGAAATAGATTTTGTGTTGAGTTAATATGCGTGCATTTATTAATTATTTTGTAATTAATAAGAGTCATTTTAGGGATCAACAGCTGGATAAGTAAAATTATAAGCTACAAAAATACATGATATTAAAAAACATGCTTTTACGATGTTTATTAAATGTCTTTCAACACGTAATTTTTACTTTTACGGAATTACACTATAAATCATATTTTTCGAAACCTGCAAATTTCGTTAGACTATTTTTACTGAAGAAATTCATTAAGTTAACTTGCGGTGCACCCATAGCTGATTCAGAATATGTGAAAGGCACTTTTGGTTTTTTTGTTATAAATTACTTTTCGTAAAAGCCTCAGGACTTAAATGATGAATCTGTTTAATCAATACCCAGCCATTTTTTCCGATTACAACGTATTGACAACTGACATCCGCAAAACATAATTAATGATGGTACCCCTTATATCATTTAAATTTAAAATGAGAGATAAATTAAATTGCATTAATATAGCGTTTGCGACAGTGTGGTTTTAATAATAATTAGTTATAGTATAAGTATATTCAAAATTAAATTTACTTTGTTTTATTAATATTTCGTTTAAAAATACATGGATTGAAAAGTTACGCAATAATCCGCAAATTGAATACTAGTGTTTGTGAATTGATTACTTTGTTGACTATAAATAGTACATCCGAGGTGTGTTGTGAACAGGTCATCAGAGTTAACTAAAGCCTTGACTCTATGTGAACAGGTCATCAGAGTTAACTAAAGCATTGACTCTATGTGAACAGGTCATCAGAATTAACTAAAGCATTGTCTCTATGTGAACAGGTCATCAGAGTTAACTAAAGCATTGACTCTATGTGAACAGGACATCAGAGTTAACTAAAGCCTTGGCTCTACGTGAACAGGTCATCAGAATTAACTAAAGGATTGACTCTATGTGAACAGGTCATCAGAGTTAACTAAAGCCCTCACAGGTCATCAGAGTAAACTAAAGCCTTGACCCTATGTGAACACGGCTCAACATCTATAATTACCAGTTCTGTCACAAGAAAGCCACAATGCTTGTTGATTGAATGGGGCTTCGAGTGCAAATTACATTTTGCTTCTCTCATCGAGATATTGCGTTTTCAGGGTTCGGCTTCTTTGTGCTGCAATGATATACCTACGAACCCTAAGGTCGTGATATTATTCAAGGATAGGATACCATATTGTATCAAACGTTGAATGCATAACTAATTTGACAACTTAATAAGCCACTTACAAACCACTAGCTTACTCGCAATTCAAAAGGCCTTCTTTTAGATCAAACACACTTATCTATATTTTGAATAAAGAAAAAAAGTAATCCATAAATACTGAACAACATGACATTGTTAATGAAATTGCTTTAATGAGTTAAAGAATGAGAATGAGAATGAGAGAATGAGTTTAATGAGTTATATTCATCGACAATGCATCGTCATTTTATAGTAAAACTGAGTGTATGAGATTTCTATAAGTAAATTTATTTGGAATAATTCTATTTACTATTATCAGTTAGCTATTAATACATACAAAGATTGTAAACGGACACATCTCCACCTTAAGTGCTACCTTGGGGAGGGAAGGATAGCACAAACCCGCGATAACACACTCTTTTATCAGGGCTACGGCTCTCGGTTTGGCGGGTCTACACGTCACACGGAATGTTGACACCTTTTGTAGGCATAACAATTAGGCCATACATTTCATGCCATGACCAAACCACTGAATGCGATGTAGCAATTGATGTATCACACACACCGACTTTTGACTTTTGGTTTTGACTTTTATTATCTTTGTGACACTCAACAAAATTCCGATTAAATTGCAAGATTATGCTGGGTAGTGGAGTTGCTTCACGTGTGCATTGTCCAATTGACGTTATTTGTGGCAACAGCTAAAATTAACCAAAACAGTGCGTTGGGCTAGTATTCGTAATATTCGAAAAGTTGAATGCCAGATCTTCAGAGCTCAAAATTGACAGAAATGTCTATAGGCAAAACACAGCTAGGCCGAGCACTTAATCTTTTAATAGTTTCAGGGGATATACTTATCAGCACACTGTTAATTTCATAAAACTTTCGTCAAAGGTCGTAGATATCTTTGTTAAAAATCTAAAAGCTACTTAGAAGAACCTTTTAAAACATGATTGTGGACATTTTTAGAAATCTAATATATAATAGCAGTAAAATATTAAACATTATTAAAATACGAAATCTTAAAAGATGCATTGAAAATCAATATTTTAATGCGTATTAAAGTTAATATCCATGTAAATAGTTTGGAATGAAAACACTGTAATCGTTCTATTCTTTCTTCTGTATTTACTTAGAGAACTTGATAAGTTTTCTAGTCTTCTATAGCAAAGGAAAGGATGATTCCAATATCATTCTAGATGAGGGTAAAACAAATATCAGCAAACTGCTTTGGAAGAGTGGACAATATCTTCAACAGTTTCGATTGAAAGGGATAACCTTTTATGTGACTTTGAAGTTCGAAATAAAATTTTGAAGACTAAACACTTACAAAATTATTATTAAAAGCAATTAAAAGTTATTTTATAGGAAACTGCCTTCCATTGAAAGTATTGTTTCGAATTAAAAAAAGTCACATAATTGCGTATAGATAATTTAATGTGAATAATAAAAAAGTGATTTTACAAAACATAAATTAGAGTACTGTATCATAAATACACTTGGCATTGTGCGTACATTACTAACTTAAAAAGTGCAATTTGAATTTGGGTTTTATTGTTGTAATTAATACTGTTCCACAAAAAAATATATATAGGCTTAGACGTCATTGAAAGATTTGAAAAAAGTTAAGTATAATTTACTACGAAGGGTTTTTACTCTCGTTGGAATAATGTAAAAAATACAAAAACATTTGTAACTTCATACATACCTCCGACATATCCGTATGTTCTACACCTGGTTTTATGAAAATTTTCTCTTGCATGGAATGAACAGTACTTTTTGTTTACGAAATTATTTGTTATATAGTCTTTTCAATTTGAGGATGTAATAACCACTGGCTCTCTGTGATGTATATATGACGCCTAAGTATGTATCAAATATTGAATAGTTCAGGCATCAAAACGGTATAGACAAACACTTCCAAACATTTCCCTCTATACATTTTTGATAATTCGTTGCCTGCACCATAATGTTAATAAGTTACATGCGATTTATTTTTTAAGCGGGGAAAATTGATATTCAAAAATACAGTAATAAAATATAAAATTCGAAAATGTTATTAAAAAGTGGACGTTTCACTTTTTCAAGCAAATGTCCGTAACATTATATTTTTAACCGAATTAAATAGGAAAGTCTATTGACATGTATGTGATTAAAATATTAGCTAAAACTAATCCAAACAAAACAATTTACAGTTACAAACATAAATTTATGTTTTGGCACCGTTTTTATCCTCACAAGAAAGTAACCTTTTCAATTGTGAATAAGTATCACTCCCAGAAAATAGATTATTATACACGGTGATTGTGAATTATTTTATTGTTACACTTATAAAACTCCATAAATGAAAAACTGTACAACCTATCATCATGGGATGAGAATCAATTAATTGAAAGAGAAGATTCTAAGGTTTTGTTTGGTGCCACTTTGGTAAACATAGTTGAAAAATCAGCCTCTACAGAGACTTTTAGATTTAAACTACGGTTTTAAATTAATTACACAATTTAAAATATAAAGAACTTTTGGCGTTAACAAGTACGTACACAATAGTAGGTGTTTTAATACAAAAAAGTAACAATATTATGGCTGAAAACTATAAATACTATATTTGCGCCCTCTGGATGCACAGCACACATCCATTCAATAATTAAAGTCGTCCCAAACACCAAAACACAGAACAATTTTGCTTTTTGAAGGTTCCTCGCAGCTTACAATAAAATGGCGGTCGTGTATGGCGGACAACAATAACTGAGCGATAAATTATAACTAATTGACCCATAGCAGTATTACCATATTACTTAAAAGTAAAATTTTGACAATTCAACGTAGAGTTTGAAGTTGTGACATTCAGAGAAGTAAAAGTGGTTTAGTATTTTAAAATCGTAGATAAAGTCTAAAAATGTCTGTAGTGGCTAATTTTGCAACTACGTCTACCAAGTGGTTTTAAACAAAACTTAAGAATCTCTTCTTCTTAATGATTTTCAGCCGGTGATGATAGGTTGTATAGTGTATAGTAGTTCATTTATAGAGTTTCAAAAGTGTAACAATAATTTACAATCACCCTGAACTATAGTTATACTGAGAAATAGTTTTCAACGATCTTCTATAAGGCGTAGCTTACAATCGACTAACCCTTGATTCAAAGGATGAATATTAAATTGTCATACATTTTTACTTTCTCCCCTTATACCATATATGGAGAAAGTATTGTTTTCGTCAAAATTTTCCCGATTTTGATGAAATTTGGTATGTAGGTTATAATCCATCGTATGTCCAGGCGTTTTTTTTCATTTTTTAAATTTAGATTTTTAATAGGGATTTTCCCATAAAAACCCATAAAAACCGAAAAAAATCAAATTTTCTGAAAAAAAACCAAAACGATTTTGATAAAAATATAGTATGTTGTAGCCCTTTAAATTCTGAACAAAATAGTACAAATCCCATTCATAAAAAAATACGGTTCAAAGGTTATGGTGAATTATGTTATTTTCCCATAAAACCCCATAAATTAATGAAAAATAGGATTTTTGAAAAAAAACCGGTTTTTATTTAACATAGTAGGCTATGTTATAGTCTTTACAATTTTTAAGATTTTTTCAATTTTTTTTAGAAATTTTGATTTTTAATGTGTATTTTTCCATAAAACCCCATAAAATAACG